TCTTTTGGACCCCTGAATATATACAATAAGGCACATAATTTAATTTTTATATAAAAATTTATTAATTTTTTATTTTTTTTATTTTATGTCGAAAAAAAATCCCGAACAACTTTAATTATCGTTTAAAAATTTTTTTCCTCATAATTAGCGTCCTTTAAAGTTAGCGTCGACTTTCGGCGTCAAAAATTGTTATTTAGAATAATTTTTCCTTTTAGAGGCAAAAATGGTTCTTTTTCCCCTGGGAGTTAAAAAAATTAAAAAACTAGAAATAATTCTATTTTTTATTTTGATTTCGGAAAAGAAAATTATTTTCGACGCTGAGTCGACGCTAACTTCAGGCCCCTTATTATTTTTTAAGTTCACATTAAATTTTTACTACTTTCCAGAATACTTCACAGTATGAGTAATAAAAGTATTTTTAGTAAAAGTTTTTCCTTTCAAAAAAAGGCACAAGAAATTGACTTCATTTTTCCTTACGACGAATCTTTAATCACAGAACTATATGTTATTTTACATTACAATAACAAATTTTGGTTTTAGATTTAAAAAAAAACATTTTTTAATTTTTTAATTCTTTTCAATTATAAAAATATTCAGACCCAATAAAAAAATAATTTTTTTTTATAATTTTGTCCGTAAATTCTTAAAAATTCTTTTTTTTAAAAAACTAACTCGATTTTAATTATTAAAAATGACACTTTCCGGTGAAAGGGATTTTACGGGCCAAAAATTATAGGTTATGTTTAGGTAAGTTTTTTCAGGTTTTTTATGGTTTTTTCCTTAAGATTCATTTTTTACTTATTTTGAAGTCAAAAAGAATTTTTATTGACTATTTTACTTTACTAATTAATAAAAATTATTTTTTTTTATTCAAATAATTAAAAAAGAATTGAAGTGAATCAAAAGCAAAAGTTAGCTAAACATAACCTATAATTTACAAAAGATCTTTTTTTGCAGATCTTGCAGATTAAAATATTTAATGAGGTCCCTTTCATCAAAAAGTAGAATTTAGTGGGAAAAAATTGAAATTATATCGAATAATGGAAAAATGATCGAATTGAAAGTATCGAACAAAGGAAAAAAAATTAAAAGTTAATTTTAAGTAACTCCGATTTTAACTAGAATGGATTCTTCTATTTTCTTTTTAGATAAATTATTATTCAACTTATATAAAATACGCAAGTGATGCATATAGAGAAATTTTTTAAAATTCTATATTCAACTATAAATTCTGTCATTGCTTCGCCCTTTTTTATTCGTTTTTCTAACCTTTAAAAATATTTATCAATATTTATAATTCATTCTTCGTAACAAACTCGTATCTTAAAGACAAAATTTATCAATATATCTTTATTTATTTATTTACAAAAAAAACCCCCCATTTATATAAAGACAAGAAGGGAAACAATTTTATATATGCATAATACTCTATTTCGTCCATTTGGAAGATTATTTTTTTGAGCAAAATTCATTGCCCAACTCTGAGAAATATGTAAATAATTTTTTTTTTTTTTGAATAAAAGAAAATATTTTTAAAAATTACTTACAGAATTCTCAGCTTGGTATTTTTTGTGTGTGTGTGTTTTCTCTTATATAGTTTCTCGAGTTAAAACAATTTATTAAAAATTTCTCAATTCAGAATAAATTATTTCTAGACTCGCGGAAAAGTTATGCAACAAACATATTAAATATTCGACGATTGATATTAACTTTCGCGAAGTTTCCGATATTATTTCAGTATAGTTAGGGAAAAAAAAGCGTCAATGCTAATCACTTTACTGATAACAATATATATTGTGTTGAGTTATTTCATTCTCTTTGGAAAGTTTAAAATATAAAAGAAACTTCAAATAGTTTTGTTCTAGTTTTAATTTTTAATTTTATTTTTTTAGCAAGACTTTGAAGAAAGAAGAAAATTCTATTTTTTTTATTACGAACTTATTTATTACAAAATCAAAATTTTAAGATTTTTTCTGAAAATGATTTTTGAATGGAATAAAAAGAAATGTATGTGCAATAAAAAAAAATTTTTGTTCTAAAACACTATACTTTTTTAGTTGAGGAAGTTAACAATTTTTATCGTCAATAATTTAGAGGAAAAATATTTTTCTATTCAAATTTTTTTTTAAGATTTTTTTGTTCTAATTTTTAAAAAAATATTTTTGAGTTCAAATTTTTAAAAAAATATTTTTCAATTCAAATTTTTTAAAAAAATATTTTTTTAATTCAAATTTTTAAAAAACTATTTTTCTTTTCGAATTTTTTTAGATTTTATAATTTTTTTTTATTTTTTTCTTTTTTTAAGTTTATTGATCGACAATTTATTGAAAGAGAAACGTAAAAATTTTGTCAACTTCATCAAATTTTTAAAATTCAAAACTCAATTTCAGAAAATGAAAATTTGATCCCTTTTTCTAGTGAAGAATTTTTTGCAAAGCATTTTGAATTCTCTTTTTCTTTCTCCGCACATTTTTTAAGTTAAACGTCTTTTTTTGTTTGAATTATAAAAAACTATTTAAATAGTAAAAATATTACTGTAAATTTTATCGTCATTGTTTTTTTTATAAAATATATTTAAATGTAATATATTTATAAATTTCTTTAAATTTGTATTTAAGTTGAACATTTTCGAGAAGGTTCCATGTGGAAATTTATCATTAAAAAGTAGATGAAACATAATTTTCCAAAAGTTCTTCCATTTATTCAAAATCAAATAAATTCAATTTTTCATAATAATTGTAACTATTTATGATTCTTTTTTAAAAAAATGTTATTAAGATGAATTAATGAAAATATTTAACCAACAAATTTTGAAAATAACTGATTTTCAAAAAATTATAATAAAGAAATTCTTGAAATTAATTTTTGAAATACATTTTTTAATAATTTTTTAAAGGTAATAAACTTTTTAATTTATACAATTTTGAAAAATTTCCAAATAATTGAAATTTGGTAATTGTAAAAAATCAATTATTTTCAGTTATATTTTTTACAAAATTTCAATTACTGAAAAATTTGATAATTTGTTTAATTCTATATTCAGGCCTTGGATCGACTTCAAGACGCAAAAAAAATTCGCTTCAATCGATTTAAAACAGAAAAAAAGTCGAAAAAGTCGTTTATTTAATTTAGTGTTGTCACAAAAATTTTATTTTCTATTTTTCTGATCTTTCACTGATTTATAAATTCAATTATTCAAAATTTGAATAATTTCGTTAAATAAATATTTAAATACTTTCTTTTTTATTATTCGGGAATAAAATTTCAAAAATTTCTATTTAATTATACATATAAAATTGAAAAATTTCCAAACAATTGAAATTTGGTAAATTATATTAAAAAAATATTTGAATTTTTGAAGAATTTTAATTATTAATACGTGATTATTAAACATGATTTCTCCAAAATTTTAATAAATATAAAAAAGTAAATTTAAAAAAATTTTAATTTACTTTGTTCAAAGTTAATTAAATCTTTAAAAATTATGACGAAAAAATAAGTTTTTTTTTAAATATTGTAATAAAATTTTTCAAAAAGAATTGAATTTCGTAAAAGAATTTTTGTACAGTTAGAAAAAATAATTTTTTAAAGAATTTTGATTAAAGATTTTAAACATAATTGTTATGTTGTTAAAATGTTAAAAATAGTTGTAAAAAATTGTAATGTTATTATTTTTTTTATTTACTTGAATTTTTGGCAATTTGTATTTGAAAATATTGAAAATAATTGAATTTTAAAAAATTAGAAAGCAGAAATTCTAAATTTTTTTTTGAAAAATATTTCAATAGAATTTTTAGAAGCTAATTTTCATTAATTACCTAACATTTTTAAATTTACACTTGAAAATTCTTCATTAAAATTTTTTAAGAAATCAATTATTTTCAAAATTTGCAATGAAAATTTTTTAAAAGTTGATTATCAAAAATTTTTATAAAACACTTTGAAAGAAAATCAATTATTAGTTCCAATTAAATTTTACAAAATTTCAATTATTGAAACTCTTTTTCATTGTAAATTTTGAAAATTTATTTAGTATTTATAAAAATAGTTGAATTGTTTAGAAGAAATTATTAAAATTTTAGGAAATAATTGAATTTTATAGAAATATTTAAAAATATTTGAATTCTTCCGAGAAATGCAATTAAAAATTGTTTTGAAAATAATTGAATTCCTGCAAAGAATTTTACTATTTAAAAAAATAATTGAATTCTTGCGATGAATTTTACTATTCATAAAAATAATTGAATTCTTGCGATGAATTTGACTATTTATATAAAAATAATTGAATTTTTTTTAAGGTTTTATTAAGATTTTAGAAAATAATTGAATTTATTCCAAATAATATTAAAGTTTTTTTTAAATTGAATTCTTCCGAGGAATTCAACTAAAATTGAATTCAATTTTCAATTATTTTCAAAATTTACAATTAAAATTATTCAAAAGTTGATTTTCAAAAATTTTTATTACTTTTATTTATTATCAAAACTCTGTTTTATTGTAAATTAAAAATTTTTTGACAAAATTTCAATTATTGAAACTCTGTTTTGTTGTAAATTTTCAAAATTTAACAAAATTTCAATTATTGAAATTCTGTTTTGTTGTAAATTTTCAAAATTTAACAAAATTTCAATCATTGAAACTCTGTTTTGTTGTAAATTTTCAAAATTTAACCAAATTTTAATTATCACAACTCTGTTTTGTTGTAAACTTTCAAAATTTAACAAAATTTCAATTATTGAATCTCTGTTTTATTGTAAATTAAAATTTTTTTTACAAAATTTCAATTATTGAAAATCTGTTGTGTTGTAATTTTCAAAATTTAACAAAATTTCAATTATGAAAACTTTGTTTTGTTGTAAATTTTTAAAATTTTACATCAATTATTGAAACTCTGTTTTGTTGTAAATTTTGAAAATTTAATTAGAAAAATTATTTAAAAATAACTTTTGAAAATTTCTCTAGTTATTTTTCACACTATATAAAAATCGAAATAAATTGGATTTCATACTATAAATTATTTCAATATTTGATGGAAAAGTCGAAAAAGTCGTAATTTTTGAAAATAAGTCGAAAAAAGTCGAATTTTTTTGGAAAATAATCGAAAAAAGTCGAAATAGTCATAATATCCAAGGCCTGCTTGTTAGGGATTATAGAAACTTTTTAAATATTAAAAGATGTATTTTTCTTGTCGTTCAGAATTATTAATAAAAATAAAATTTACTTTTACAAAAAAATCTAGAAAATGTTTCTTTTTTGCTAGTCTCTAGAATTTTATCCTCCAAGCTTTAGTCTTTCTATAAAAACTCCTTAAACTTTTTAAATTTCCGATTTCAAAAATCTAGAATTCAACCATGTTCCAGAATAGTCTCAAAAATGATAAATTTCCCCACGGAAACAATTTAAACAAAAAAACCGCCTTTTTTTCCCTCCATTTGACTAAAAATCTAAAAAAAATTAAAGCTGTTTTAAAAATATACGTACATTGTATACATATTTCTGATATGATTCACAAATTTTTTATCTCGAAACAAAAAGCTATGATTTAGGTATAATGAGGACTGGTTGGATACCTAACAAAGGCGCTCCTAACAGGAGAGGGAAAATCACAGTAAGAAGTGTGCTGTGCTCTCCATGAGATAGGTACCCTTAGACTGAGTTCAAGGGCATAATCGTAGCCCCTCCCTTCATTCAGATTGCAAATGCCCTGGCAATTATTATTGTTGTTGGTGTTCATCATCGAAAGACCATGATCCGTAGGTTTGCTGATTGGATTATCCAAATAGGGTTTAAATAAAATGGCATCCTTCTTCGAAGACGGTGGTGTGGAAGTTGTAACTGGTGCAATGGGTCCCGTTTGTACTGTACTGCTGACAATTTCAATTTGTGGATTCATTTTCGGCTTTACTAGGCACAATGGTGTTTCCTGTGGAGGTAGATGTGTCTGCTTCGCTCCCTCAAGGCAGAGTTTCTTCGGCGATGGTGTCACTCGATAGCAGCAGAAATCAGAAGCTGATCGTTTATTGTCACTCGGGGTAATATTGTTGTAATATTGGTTCGTATCCTTGTTGGTCTTGAAATTCGAGAAATTCTCTTGATAGCATATGGCATTGTCGGTGCAACACGATAGGGAACAAAGTCTTGTTGGTGATGTTTCACAACAGTAAAGTCCTCCGGTTCTTAGATCCACGGGTGCTTCTTCCGGTAGTTTGTAATCATTTGAGCCTAAACGTTGGCGGGAATTACCGCCACGACGTGCGATTTCACCTCGGAGTTCGGTCTCTTGACCGAGCCATTTTTGCACTTGACGACGATTAATGCCGAATTTTCGGGCAGTGGCACGTTGATTGCCAGAGACAATGACGTCTTGATGAAAGGCGTCGAGGACGTTGATTTTGAAGCGGAGGGAGAATGATCGTCTTCTTGTTAGTTCACTTGTTGGGGAATTGTCGATGGCATCTATTTCGCTCTCGGAGCAACTGCTGCTGGAACTGACCGGACCATGTGGACTCGAAGAGGTTGAATAGGAGTCTGGACCATCTTCTTCCTTCTGAAATTCTAGTTCTATCTTTGTCTCTCGTTTCTCGTCTTCTTGGCAACAGGGCTTCTTGGAATCCTGGTAAGGGTGTTGGTGCTCACGAACATAGTGCATAGAGGGACTTTGTTGTGTTGGTTCAAAGTGAGGGGTCTGATGATGTGGAGATAAAAATGAGACCAGCGAAGCACTGGGTGATCCTGGCATCTCATACATCCCTGGCGTCGCCGCTGAGTCTGGGCTCGCTCGTTCCGCCTTTATCTCTGCCGGTGCGTTCAGTACTGTAATTCTAGTATCCTCGGGCGAATCCACATTTCTTATTTGTGATAGAGATTCTTCCTGATAGGGGGTTAGTGTTTGATATTTCACATCACCCCGAAAACCCGATGGGGACTCATGTTCATATCTCTCGGATATGTAGAATTTTCTCTCCGATTCGGGCAGGAATTTAAGATCCGGCAAATCCGGAGTGTAGCCAACTGGAGCTAGTGGAAGAGTGGGAAGGAAACCGAATTCAGCAGTGAGGGGTGAATTTCGAGAGGGTGGGGACCCCTGTTGAACAGGCAACAACTCGTCGCCATGCAGTCTGGCGAGACTGAGGTTCAAGGCCGGCGATGATGGGGAGACGTCGGATCCAGAATTTTCTTCTGATTTCAAAATTCCATTAGAGTTAGTTGTACTAGTTGCTTCTGCTCCAATCTCCGGACAACTGCTACGTAAATTATCCTCGCATTGTAACCATTTTTGTATTTGTCTTCGATGAATTCCATATTTTCGTGCGGTGGCTCGTTGATTACCACGACAGTCAATATCATTTCTATAGGAATCTAATACTTTTAGCTTGAAAGCTGGCGCGAATATCCTTCGACTACCCATCACACCCACTGTTTTCCTAACCGTTTGCTGATGCGGATGCTGATTTTCTTGCTTAGCTATCACAATTTTCACAGAACTTCCTTCACTATTGAGCACATCGCTCACACCATGAGCCATAATGTTTTCACTCACTTTTGAATTTCTAAATAAAATCACAAGAGAAGAGAAATTCACAAACTTAAATATAAAGAAACACTGGCAACGACGCGCGAATAAAATTTAACGCGTAACATTGCACGAAGCAGCCTGGTCGCTCTGCGCACGGAGTTCCTTTTAGGACTTGGTAGATGCCGTAACTAATTTTTATCCCCACTCGTCGGCAGCGTCTGCTTCCCACTGAATGTCTTTCCCCACCGCTTTAACCGACTTGGTCACCCCACCTCACCCCCGATTCGCCTCTCACTTCTATAGAACTTCTATGCTATGTACTCGCCCCTCTCCTCAACTCCTCTCACTGTCGATGTCTTCCCCCCCCCTCTCACCACAAACTGATTCCGCGCTGTTGCTTTTCTCACTACAGACGCAGACGGGATAAAGTGTATGTACTTGCAGTATCTTATTATGTAGTTTATTCTTACATTTACGCTACCGACCTAACCTCTAGCAAGTTCTCTTTCGGTTTCTCCGACGGTAAACGTCACCACAATGACGTCTCGGCGCCATGTTGTCTGCCTTGCTGCCTTATATGTATTACATACAACAGACTCTTTAGCTCGCTCTTTAGCTCTTTTGCAAATATAGAGAGAAAAACGGAAACTTTTCCGGAAGTTCGAATTTTTTGAATATACATTCTCAATTCTAGAATAATATTTAAACATAATTTCTAAAAATTTCTACAGAAATGTTTACCATCCATTTCTGTATTTTAGAAATATTCCCGGATAAAGTTTTATTGAAACTGTTTTGAGTCCTCGATTGGAAACTGGTTAATTGAATAACAGTCCTAAACCATCCGCAATGTATCTATAGACATTCTGAGACAGTCGAAGGCAGAAAACTTTTTAAAATATACTAATAATCTTCTTGCGAGAATCAAATCTCATTATCAGAATAATTTCATAAAATGATTATTATTTCTTGCGTATACAATCTCAAGTAACCTTGGTATTTATGCAATATTATTATGCTAAAGAATGCGAACCAAGTGGAACTTAATAATAGATTTTGCCTTTTAGTTTTAATAGTTGTACAAAAAAAAAAAATGCTGATAATTTTTCAGAATATTTTCGAAAATAATATTCACTCTTGTTTATAATACGATTTATGTTATATTTGAAAGATTCTAAGTAGCAATATATTGCAGCATCCTTACATATCAAACTTGCAACATAGGAATTTTTTTGATTGAGAAAAGACGAAAAGTTCGTAAATTGTACCGATATAAATTGGAAAATTTTGAAAAAGTTACAAATGATGGTAGAAATTCAATTATTTTTCAAAAGTGTAATAAAATTCTTCGCAGAAATTCAATTATTTTCAACAAATTTTAATATAAAATACTTGACAAAATTTCAATTATTTTCAAAAATTTGCCTCAATTCAATGATTTTCAATATCTATTTAAATAAAATTTTCCTATTCAATTATTTTAAAACAAATTTTAATGAAATTCTACACAAACATTTAATTATTTTCACAAAATAATTAAAATTTCACCAAAATTCATTTATTTACAAATTTTTTATAATAATTCAATTATTTTCATAAGTAGGGGAACATAGTCTAGGTCGGCCACCTTTTTGACTTTTGTTTATAACTTTTTTTTAAAAATGAATTTTGACAATTGAAGTATATGGTTGGAAAGTCCTGTTTAATAGGAACATTTTTTCTGTACAAAGTAAATTGACAGGTTTAAAAATGAAAAAGTTATAAAGATTTAAAAAAAAAAAAATTTGTAGTCCAGGTTGGCCATTACAGTCAAGGTCGGCCATGTTTAAAATTCAAAGGGCATTAATCGTTAAAAAATAAAATAACATGTTTGGAGTTACGGAAAATTGATTCTTTATTGTTTACAGTTTGTAACTTAATGAAATAACAAAATAATAACAATAAACAATATAAAAAAATAAATATAAATAAAAAAAAGTTTTGCACTAAAATATTAATAAAATTAAATAAAAATATTAATAAGATGATCAATTATATTATGAGTTATACAGAATTGCAGTTTTTGCAAATGAAGTAGCTCGTCCTCATCTTTGCGCATTTTAAACACATAGTGGCCGACCTTGACAGTAAGTAACATTAGCGAATTGTTGTAACCATAAAAAAATACGTTTCGGGATTCGATTTTTTACTTTGTTTTCCTTTCAACCATGAGTCCCACAAATTTTCTGCATACTTGCCTTGACGATTCAATTTGTTTTTTATCTTTTATTAATGGTTTTTCACATTATGCACAAAACTTTTTTTCAGCTTTTTTTGTACCGACGTCACAGAAAACACAATTTTCGATTTTCCGAAAATGTAATTGAACAAAAAGTTAGGTTTCACTAAGACAAGCTTCGACAAATATGCGCGTAGGTGGCGCTAGTGAACTTGACAAAAAAACGCGAGTGGCCTACCTAGACAGTAGACCAACCTTGACTACATTCCCCTAATAAAAACTCCAAAAAAATTCCATTATTTTCAAAAATAATCAAATTCTTGGCAAAATTTCAATTATTTTCAAAAATTGTCATCAAAATTTAATGATTTTTAATATCTATTATTTCAATAAAATTTTTCAAAAGAGTTCAATTATTTAAAAAAATTTTGATAAATTTCACAGGAATTCAATTATTTACAAATTTTTTATAAATTTCTTCGCCATAATTCAATTAAGTTTCATAAGTAATAAAAACTTCATAGAAATTCAATTATTTTCAAAAATAATAAAATTCTTGGCAAAATTTCAAATATTTTCAAAAAATTTCCTCAATTTAATAATTTTCAATTATATTATTATTTTCAAACTTTTTAATAATGTTCCTGACAAGAATTCAATTATTATTTTTATAAATAACAAAATTGTTCGCAAGAATTCAATTATTTTATAAATAGTAACATTTTTTTGTAAAAATTCAATTCTTTTAAAACTTTTAATAAAATTTCAAGGAAGAATTCAATTATTTTCTTAATTCGTTATAAAACTTTTCAAAAGAATTCAATTACTTTCTACAAATTTATAAAATCCTTCAATTTTTTTTTAAATCTTTAATAATATTTTTCGAAAAAATTCAATTATTTTCTATATTTTAATAAAATTTTTTAAATAAATAAAATTATTTAGAAAATTGTAATAAAATTCTGAGAAGAATTTAATTATTTTCTAAAAATTTTAATAAAATTCTTGTGAAGAATTCAATTATTTTCATAAACAATAAAATTCTTCAGAGAAATTCAATTATTGTTAAATTTTTTGATAAAATTATTGTCAAGAATTCAATTATTTTCATAAATAATTAAATTCTTCAGAGAAATTAAATTTTTTTCAAAAATAAAATAAAATTTTAAACTTTTCATAATTTTGATAATAATTTTAATTAATTAATTAATTAATTTTTTAAATTTTTTCATAATTTTCTTTGCAGATATTCAATTATTATTATAAAAAATGTATAGGTATATATTACATTTTTGAATTGAATTCTTATTATAAATAACAAAATTCTTCGCAGAAACTCAATTATTTTTGAAAATATAACAAAACTTTTATCAGCAATTCAATTATTTTCAAAAATTTCATAAAAATTCTTCGCAGAAATTCAATTATTTAAAAAAAAACTTTCAAATAAAATTCGTGGAAAGAATTCATTTATCTTTTCATAAATAACAGAATTCTTCCCAAAAATCAAAATTTTTTTAAAATATCAACATTTTTAGCAAGAATTCACTTATATTTTTTAAAATTTCCATAAAAATTTTTTACAATATTAAAGGCATTACATAGCTTCAATTTTTAGCAATAATTGAATTTTGAAAAGGTTTATGATTTTATATAGTTCAAATGTTCACTGTTTTGAGGTTTACAAGGTCGAATTCGGTGAAAAAAATGTTAATAATTAAAAAATTTTTTTAAATATTTAAAAAATCAACTTAACAGAATTTAAAAAAATAAAATTTATATATTGAACAGAGCTTTTATACCGAAGAATTTGTATTCAACCGAATTTTTATTTCAATAAATGTTTCTTTTAGAATAATTCTCATTCAACTGAATTTTTACTTAGCCAAATGTTTAATAACAGAATTTCAATTGCACCAAATTTTTAAATTCTTCAAAGAATTGATTTTTTATTTGTCAAAACTTTTAATTGTCCGAATAAGCGTTCGGTATTAGATAAATCAAAAATATTTCAGAGTGGCTTTTAAAATTGACCAAACTTAATTTTCTTAATAATTTCTGATACGGGTTAATTTTCAAATATAAACTTAAATTTTTAATAATTAACATTAAATGAAATTTCGAGAATTAAAAATTCAAAAACCTCAAAATGCAACTAAATGGAAGCACAAATAACATAATGGTAATTAAATAAAAATTATATTATATAAAATTTCTGTTAATAAAAAATTTGGGTTCATATAAATTTTATTAAACGAAAAATCCATTCGATAGATATTCAGATTTAGAAAAATTCTTTTCAATATAAATTCTGTTAAATACACAATAAGCACAGAAATCAAAGTCTTTTAGTATGTACATTATATTATATATACATATAAACACGTCGGGAAAATAAATATTTCTGCTAAATTATCATCTATGGGTGCATTAAAATACATAACATTATATTGCAAACTAAAGTGTATATAATTTAAAATATAATACACGTTGGAACTGACATTTTCATAAAAGTTTTATATCCAATTTATCACTATCTTGTAACAGAAATGACTCATTTTTGAAAGCAAGAACTCGAATAGGATTAACTAACTGATGTGAAAAAAATTTATCAACATTCTTCATATCCTTAATACAGATAAGTTTTCATACAAAAAAAAAGAACAAAATTCCCTTCTTTTATCACAAATTATATACACACATATAATTCTTTCCTTTTACAAGCACATCCGCATCACGCACAATAACCAACTTGTTTACTCTTTTTAATTTCAAACATCCGAAAAAATTTTGATTCATTTTGTTACAACCGTTACAACTTGCGAAAAATTTAATTAATTTCTAAAAGTAATTATAAAGTTTCAAGTACAGAAAGACTTAATTCTAAATTTTTTTTATTTAAAATTTTAAATCTATGAGCAAATTATATAACGATCCAATGGGAAGAAGGAAAACTGGTATTTTAATATTTTTAAACTATGAACAAATTAAGGAGAACTATGAG